TCCAAGACTAGAAGTAACTGGGCAAGGACCCCACACATCTGAATGAACAAGATCAAAAGGTGTTAAAGCAGATTTATTACTACTAGCAAGATAATTGGAACGAACATGTTTAGCCATATGACATGTTTCACAGGATAAATCTGACACTGCCACGTTACAAAATAAGGAAGGAAATAAATGTTTCAAATAACCAAAAGAAATATGTCCTAAACGCATGTGCCAACGCATAAGCTGGGTTTTATTAGATGAAACAATATTAGAAAATGAAGCTGAATGTGCTTGCGGTGACAAAGGAGCATCCAACAGGTATAAACCGTCCACTTCGCGCCCACTGCCAATCGTCCGTTTCGACACCAGATCCTGAAAAATACAATGAGAGGGAAAGAACGTTACACTACAATTTAATTGTTTGGTAACGCTACTAACAAGAATAAGATTTGTAGTCAACTTTGGAACATGAAGTGTATTTGACAAAGTTAATGAAGGAGTAACTGATATGTGACCCTTCCCAGCAATGGAAGATGGGGAGCCATCCGCAAGGCGGACCTTGCGTTGGCCAGAGCAGATACTATAAGATTGGAAGAGTGAGGACATACCAGTTATATTGTCTGAAGCACCAGGGTGTTGAAGATGTAGATACGCTATGTGCAGACGCAATAGTACCTGAGTGGGCATAAGTGGAGGTTGGCTGAGATGATGCCTCCATTTGGTTGAAGAATTGCTTGAACTTGTCCAAATCAGCTTGAGTCAAGGTAGCTGTGGCAGAAGATGTAGAGGCAGGGTTGTCAGGAGTTGACAACTAGACTGGTTGTGTAACAGAATGTGCAGAGGATCGAGGCTGTTGTTTCTATTGCGGTGGACGTCCATGTAGAGCATAACAACGAGATTTGATGTGACCAATTTTTTCCGCAATGGTCACACTGTCCACATTGTCGTCCCAGAGGAGGACCGGTGGTAGTGCTCTGAATTGACTGGGATGGTGAAGTTCCTGAAAGGTTGGGAATCCGAACTGCCATAGCAGAACGATCAATAGAAGCAACACCTAATGGATGAGTCCGGCGGCTCTCATCTGACAACACATAGGAATATGCATCCTCAAGAGTAGGGAATGAAGATAAGCCCAATAAATGAACACGAGCATACTCAAACTCGTTGTTCAACCCTGCAAGAACCTGAAATACTCGATTCTTCTCCACAATTCCTGCATATAAAACTGCATCATCTGGATCCTTCCAAGAGTGGAAGGAATCATAATATGACATCTCCTCCCAAATAGCACCAAGCTTGGCGATGTAACTTGAAACTGTCAAATCACCCTGAGAAATCCTAGTGATATCTCGCCCCAGCTGGAAAATTCGTGCATTATTCTGCCTCTGAGAATAAGTGCGTTGAACTGAATCCCAAATCTGCTTAGCAGTCTTCAAAAACATATAGCCAACAGCTATGTTTGGTTGCATCGAATTGACTAGCCAAGACATAACCATAGCGTTATCTGCAAACCACAGTGGATATGCCTTCTCTGACTTAGCTGGCTCTTTCTCAGAACCAGTAATATAGCTAATCTTGCCTTTGCCACCAATGAACATCTTGGTAGACTGTGCCCAAATCAAATAGTTGGAACCATCCAACTTCACTGTGGTGATTTGAAGTCCTGGATTTTCTGATGAGTTGGTGGGAAATATGGCACCACCACCCACAGAACGTGAGCCAAGAGAATTAACAGTCGAGGACCTTGAATCTGCCATAATCTGTCACACGACAATAAAAAGAACTCCAAAAACACTACAAATTCTGTTAATAAATCAAAGGGTTTCCTTAGACCATAAACAATGTCTCCTCAGACTATTCTCAAAAAATCCAAATACATACCTTTTTTAAGGAGCGCTGCCAGCTTATATATAGCCAGACAGTCTCCTCCTTAATATTCGGAACCTCTTTGTAAACTAATTTTTTTTTTACCCAAGCCCTTCTAGGTGTTGGAAACCAACTATCCCAATTTACCCAACCCTAGAAGAGTGAAAAAGAAATTGTAAAACTTAAAAATACCTGTTTTCGATCACAAAACAGCAACACAGAAAAACATGTGTAAGCAACGTCACATGATGTCACAAACAGCCTAAGGTGGCTGTTGCACAAGTAGCAAGGCTGCTGAAAGGTGTGGAAAGGTGTTGGCTCTGATACCAAGTAGAAATATAAAAAGAAGAGAAAAGAGAGAATTGCGTAAAGGCTTGAATGAGATGAATTACCCATTCACAGCTCTAGTATTTATAGATAAAATGAGCACATGCTCATATTACAAGAAAGGAAATAAAATCAAATCATTGGATATTCTATGCCTAGATATATGCGTAAATAAAGTCAAATACATGATTAGTGGCTATCATATCTCACAGATAATATGGTAAATCACATCCCATGATTTGGGCCTATCATATCTCGGCTATTATGGTAAGTTATACCATAAATCGTGGTATCATAAATGCTAACAGGTATGATAAACTTGCTCTACTACCATGTTTAAAGATATAAAAGTTGAAGAGAGAAATTAAAACATGAATAACATAAGAATATATCGTGGTTCAGCCACTAGGGCTTATATCTACAACACACAAAGCCCAAAGGTCTACATCTCTTTCATTACATTCTCTCTTGATTTTGTTTACAATAACCACCTCTATTTATAGGTGAATTAGGGAAGACTAGAGAATAGATAATAAAGGAATTACATAGAATGTCAAATACAAATATGGTAACAACTTGTTGCCCAAGTATAGAAATGTTGACATTCTCTCAAGGAGCTTAAATCACTTATATAATTATTCTCCAACAATTTTTATGAGAAACAGTAAGTGGAGCAAAACATCCAAAAGACGCATTTTCTTAAGGCCCTAGTTTGTTGGTGGTGTCCATAATCATAAAACTAAACTTCCAAACAGTGGGTTCTAACACCATTTTTTATGCAAATATAAGATTTTACTTTCAAGTTGGCACAATGTATTGGTTTTAAGTTGATAGAATTCTTATAAAATTTAGGCATTACCAAGATAGATAGAGAGCCATATTCCCGAAGTTTTCATTTTCCCTTATTTTTATCTTTAGATCCATTTGAAAAAAGGTTGCTACATAATGACATTTGAAGTAGGTATAAACCCTAATTTGTATCACATACCTTCCCTAAATGTAGATCCAATTTTAAATGGTTCCTTACAGTAAGGACTGAATAACATTTATATCTGAGCCTGTCGTGAATATAGGCTGAATGTAGGATGTTTACAGCTTGTGATTAATTGAGAGAGTTGACTATTTTGATGGATATAAACTGCTAGCTTGATTATAGGAAAATTCTTATGCATATAATCTGCTAGCTTGATTGTAAGAATTGATATTGGATTAGCTTAATTTCTGGTAATTGGCTAAATGATTGTACTGATTGTATGTCTTGGGTTCCTATATAAACTCATGTACTCACGTCTGTGAGATATACAAGAATTCTCCTGTTCTATTTTCTAGCTGTTATTTTCCTCATGGTATCAGAGTGGGATGCTCCTGAGACCCAAATCCTGTCTTCCTCTTCCTAACCCAGTCTCCACCATTCCTCTGCCTAGCCTTTAACCTGTGCCATTAGTCCATACACGAGCCCATCATCTCCTCTGCATCACCAGCCTACCTCTGTTCCACATCTCTGTTGTTCTCGCATCGAAGGTCTCTTTTAAGCAGCAATATATTGGATTCAAAATCAATTGTAATATTCCAAGCACTTCTCGCCTTTTTAAGCAGCAATATATTGGAATCAAAATCAATTGTAATATTCCAAGCACTTCTGGCCTTTAACCTGTGCCATTAGTCCATACACGAGCCCATTATCTCCTCTGCATCACCAGCCTACCTCTGCTCCGCATCTCCGTTGTTCTCGCATCGAAGGTCTGGTGTCTTCTAGGAGGAGGAAGATAGGATTTGGGTCTCAGGAGCATCCTGCTCTGATATCATGTTGTAAATAAGAGCTAGAAAATAGAAGAGAAGAATTCTTGTATATCTCAGATGTGAGTACATGTGGGTTTATATAGGAACCCAAGACATACAATCAGTACAATCATTTAGCCAATTACCAGAATTTAAGCTAATCCAATATCAATTCTTACAATCAAGCTAGCAGATTATATGCATCAGAATTTTCCTATCAAGCTAGCAGATTATGTGCATCAGAATAGTCGGCTCTCTCAATTAATAACAGGCTCTTAACATCCTATATTCACGACAGACCCCAAGTTGTAAGACATGTATTTTATCCTCAACTATTAAAGCGTTTGCTTATGGTTCAGTCCAAACAAATGCATTTTGTGTGAAAACAATCTCCATTTTCCATAAATGCATTTGATATTTGATAGCACGGAAAGTTATGCACTTAAAACATTCTAGTGCTGAATTAGTCTCTTGGATACCTCAAGTACAGCTGAATTTGTAATCCTAGAAGTTTATGAGTGACCTTGTAAATTTTGATTGTTTAAAAGTCACCTTCACTTAAATTTAGCATACAGTGATACTCAATCTTGGACTTCAATTCAAATCATTAAGGTAATTAATTGTACAATGTCTAACACACTTAATAAAGTAACCACTGGCAGTTTTTGTAATGTACTATATTTTTCCTTGGATAGTGAGGTCTTTGAAGCTGAGAAGTAGATCGGTTTTCTGGCTTCATTTAGCTGATTATCAGTATCACTAAGTTTTTTTCACATAATGTGCTAAAGTCTTCTTTAGCTAAATGTATTATATATGCGTTGGATATCATAGTTTTGTAAGATATATCTTTATATATATATATATATATATATATATATATATATATATCTATATTAATAAAGTTCCCTTGTAAGACATTTTTGTGTAGTTTCAAACTGCTGGACAGGAAACTTATTCCCTCTCCTTTTTTTTTTTTTTTAAGTAGGAAACTGATCTTGGAACTCAAATTTTATTTTATATTTTTATGACATTCTGAGCAGGCAAGATTCCTATTAGCGAAGTTGAACCCATCAGCTACGTATAATAATGCTCATGAGATGGCTGCTGGGACGGAGATGATCTTCACAGACGATGTGAATCTTCAAGTGTTCTTTGAGCATCTTCAGAGGCTGGCTGTGCAATCGTCTTGAGACCACTGAAAGATGGAGAATTCTTCACTTATTTGTGGGTTCTTGATTTTTTGAAATCCGTGGAGTGAGTTTTTTTTAACCCTTCTCCGATATTCTCTTGTTCCATTAAGTTCTATAGCTTTCTTTCCACCATTGGTTAGATGAGAGAGTTCAGACCCTGCATTATTTGAGCGTAAAAGAAAAGCACTTATCATTCTTTGTGGGTGTTGGGGAGGTAATTGCTTCCTTGAAAGAATAAGGGATACGAGGTCGGTTGATCCTCGAGTACGCCATGTAAAGGACGATGATGTAAGTTAAGTGGCTCCCCTGTTTTCAGCAGCAGGGTCACGGGAAGACATTGTCATTTTTTCCCCCAAAGTCTTCTATGAGCTAGGTCAGAAGTTTATCTTCTGTGTATTTGAATTTTAAGGTTATATTCTTGAAGCCTAGGTTCCTAGGTTGACAAGTTCTGTTTGTTTTACCATTTAGGAAAAGAAAAAAGTTGTGTTTGTTTCTTGTCTCTCTCTCACATTCTCATCATATTTGGTTATTGATATAGTACTAATATGCGCACGTGGAAGAGCTCACCATCTGCTCTATCTTCAATCTCTTGTATTATCATTGTGTGTGTTATTTGCAGAAACAAAACTCGAATCCTACTCTAATTATCTTCTTCTTTTTCTTTTTCTTTTTTTTTTTTTCCGATTCCATTCATGCACTTCCATGTTTTTTTCCCGTTCAACTATTGTCATGCGCCTCCATGCGTTACGATGGAATAACGTCTTCTTAATTATACTCCATTATGTTAGAATGAACTAATTAAGCCATAGTGGACAATAATAACATATATATATATATATATACACACACGCACGCGCACACACATATACAGTACATTGCTAATTATGCGATTACATATATAAGCATGCATAGAAGAGATCATTATATCAACAAAAGATGCCACCCTTAATTAATAATATTTAAAACAAACAAGAATGGGTCCAGTGTATTTAAATGAGATGAGCTATTTCTGGAGGGGGCAAAGAAAAGCTACCAGTCAGATGCTAAAGTGGAAGAAATGAAATGAGATTATTAGTACTATATCAATAACCAAGTATGATGAGATTATTATTATTATTATTATTTTTTACCCAGGCAAGAAATGCACCCACGAGGAGAAATTGGGTGAGCCGTTCACGTCATGTCATTGGCAGTCCACCCAATTAATATGCATCATTCAATGATTCAAGTTGATTGGGTGGCATATCAATGACATGGCATGCTCAGCTCATCTAGTGAGGAAGTATTATTAAGTTATAGTCTTTGGCACTTGTAAGCAATATATTTTAGATTGACCCGGTTGCATATATTCTTTTTAAACACACTCCTATATTTCCCAATCCCACCGTCCAGTGGCCGGGCATGGTTTCCGAAAAAGATGATGAGTGAGTGTTTGGGGACGATGGTTTATTCTGATTAAACTGATTTTAAAACACGGTTGATAGGATGCCTGATAAATTGCTAATTAAGCTGATCAAGAAGGGAAAGGAAAAGTGAAGGAAAACATTAGACTTTCAAGTGAAACATACTCTTTTTTTTGTTATTTGTTGAACAAAAAAATTATTTCTCACATAAGGAAATAATTATCTATGAAAAGGTATTATTGTTTAGGATAAAGTGCACCCCTAACCATGTTTGAATTTGCAAATCACTTCCTTAACTATATTTGTAAATCACTTTTTCCTTTTAGGGATGTCCCGTGAGTAAGACATCCCTACCACTGTTGATGTGGTCAAATCACACAAATTTTTGTTTAGTACTAATAATTTTTGAAGTACCAAACAAATTTTTTTAATACTAAGCCAAAAATTTTAACATGCAAAATCCTAACATTGACTAAAAAAGGTAAAAAATAATAGTATAACCACTCGTCCCAGTCAACAAAAACACACACTAGGGCAAAAATGACAACTAAGCATCTTCGGCCTTCGTTGGAATGTAGCTTTGAGAACTGTTTCGAAGAACAATTTTAAGAGAACGAGGAGAGAAAATAGTTTTCAGTCTTCTGAGTTTGAAAAATTACTTCTTTGAAAAAACTCCAAAACAATTTTCATATAACAAAAACTCAAAAAATTGGTTAGTTATCTAAAAGTAATTTTTTGAACATCAGAAGAAAAAAATAAATAAAAAAATTATTGCTAAATCTCACATTGAATATTGCATTGATTTGTATACTATATATATATATATATATATCTTATGCGAGTGTCCTTACAATGACCGAAAAAAAAAAAAAAAAATCTTATCCAAGGAAAGATTTTATTCAACAAACGAATCTAATAACTAAATACAATTAAGTTATACAACTCTCATAAGAGCAGGAAGAAAGGAATTAGTAAAACACACACTAGCTCTAGATTGTAAAGAAAACGTAGCTAATGTGTGATTACAACCATTCTTTTTCCATAGATAAATTAAACAGCAAAGGAATCACAAGCTCCGAACAATCAATAATGTCGCCAAAGCTGCTTAGGATTCACAATTTGAATCAGATTTAACATCCATTTCTATCTGATCCCAATTGGAATTTCAGCTCCATTTCTATATGAACCCAAGTGAAATTTCAGTTTTCAAGAACCAGCAATAAGGACGAATTGAGAAATTATTAATGGGGTGGGCTAATACTGGTAATAATTTTTTTGGGTGATGTAAAAACTAGTAATAATTTTTTTTTTTTTTTTGATTGGGCTAAAATTTATTATAGTAAATAATTTATTTTTTATTTTTTTTATTTTTTTGGGGTGGGCCTACTCAAGCCCACCCCTGGATCAGTCAGTTTGAGCAATGTCTTTTTGCAACTTGAGAATCAAGTATATTGGAAGAGAAAAAGGTTGGTGCAGCAACCAAATTTCCATTGTGGTCTCTGAGAAGCAGACCACCATCAATCTCTACTTTCAAAAATACTAGACCAAGGCTCCCCTAACACTTTGACATCGACTCACATCATCTGTTCTGTTCGTAACTGTCCTGTTCATAGCAATTAGTGCATCTCATCGCACCAAAAACACACATTAAGTTACATGTCATGGCAAAAAAAAAAAAAAAAAACGAAAGAAGAAGAATCAGGCCACAATCAATGAAAAACACATGGATTCGAAGAAGCCATCATCCTTAAACCCAAATCGGGAGAAGGGCTCCATTCCTTGAAAGCAAATCCCAAACTGAGAGAAAAAACTCTCACCAACATGGGACAAAAAGAGAGAGAAAGCGCAAGAGTTTTACAGTAGAGAGGCAAAGAGAGAAAGAGGTACGGTTTAGGTTTAGAAAGAGAGGGACTTTTAAACGACAACTCCTTAACGTTTGTTTTTTGAGTCACCATATTATTTCCATGTTTTCTAAATTCTGGAGAACTCTCAAAACAACTTTAAGTTGTTCTCAAAAGAGCCATATACCCTTCTAACTCAGTTTTATTAAAAAGGTTCTTCAAAAACTGTTCCAAGCAGTACAAATCGAGTCTTCTGTGTTTTTGACACTAACGAGTACAAACAACTGTTTTGAGTGTGTCATTCCAAGCAGTTCCAAGCAATACAAAAAACTATCTGAGCATTGTAATTGTCAGAAAAATGTCACGTTTGGAGAACCGTGACTCACTCTGTCCCAAAAAGAATGTCGCGTTTGGAGATCCGTGACTCACAAACACGACATCCATTTTGGGACAGAGAGAGTCACGGTTCCCCAAACGCGACATTTTTTTTGAGAGAGAGTAATTCACGTCATCCCACAATGTTGAGTAGAAAAAAAAAAAAAAAAACTATTACCACCATGAAGTTTTTGAATACCATTTTGCAAAATACAAGGGACACCAAAATTTTCGCACTCAAAAATTTTTATGAAAAGGAAGTTACTCAACTTTAAAATATAATCTGCAAACCCTACAATAATTATTAAAATATAATCCGAAATTTAGCATTCATAAATTTATATATACTTTATCTATATATATACATGCGCGGACCCATGAAGGGCATAGTTTACAAAATTACCTGCAAAATTTTATGAAAATTTTGAAAGTACCCATTTTTTTTTTGTGTGAAAATCTTAAATATATTGCCACTCAAATTATAATGATACACCACTATATATTATTGTTGAAAACGATTTTCATTTTGTGAATCCGTCCACACACACACACGCATATATATATATAATAATAATAAAGACTTTATTATAAAATGCGGATTGTATTGTGGGGCTACCATTCATCTATTCATTTTCTTTTTACCGTCTTGATGGGTCTCACCATTGTTTTCACTTTGTAAAGGTATCTGCTGCTTTTCACTTTGTAAAGGTACCTTCTGCTTTCTAGTTCTTGTTTCCTTGTTTCCTTGTTTCCATCTCTTACTCACTACGCAAGGAATAAGAAAACAGAACTGTAAGTATAAACTGTGTGTATGTCTAGTTAGGCTATCTTTACCCCCATCTTGTTGAGCCATAATGTTTTGCAAGTAGTCAAATTTGAATTTATTTTCATTAACGTGGAACTGATTTGTGCAGACGGTAAATTATTAGCTCTTGAGCTCCAGAATATAGAGAAATGCGATACTGTCAATGGGTTGAATGCGTTGGACATTTTAGCACAAAGTCGGAGAAATGTGAAGAATTTGAAAATTGAAAACTCACTTCGACAAACATCCCGCAATGAAAATGGAACCATTAGGTCCAACTCTAAGCCCCTAGGTATACCATTCAGGATAGATTTGCGACATAGTGGTGTGGGAGCCAGAAATATTAAGTTGAGGGGCCAAATTAATTTATTTATTTTTTTCCCTAGATGGTGTATTGATATAAAATTGAATTTTAAAAATAAGATAAAATAATTGCATTTTGAATTTTATTTTTAAGCGCATGTCTATCAAACAAGCAAAAAAAAATGGAGAGAAGAACAATAAATGTATGTGCGCGTGTATATGCAAATGGTACTAATGTGTTGCATCAAGGGATATTAAAATTCAATTTATCTTATTTTTGAAATTCAAAGGGTACAATTTTTTTTGTGCATTTTTTATTTTTTTACTGAGTGTGTATGTGCAAAGAGTTCTAATACGTTGTATCAGGCATTACAATAATAATTAACATGGTTTTTGTTTTTTGGTAATATATATGAATTTTAAAAGTAAGACAAAACATTCATTGTACTTTGGATGGAACACAAGTTATTTCTTTTGCAAAAATATCTTTAATAACCACATACAAATAGGTAACAAAATAAGTACTTTTTTAGAAATTTGGAGAGCCAATTTTAATTTATTTATACTAAATTACCATTAATAACTATAAATATAGAGGTTACAAATAATTTTTGTGGTGTGCAATTCTAATTATTCTATACTAAATTACCATCAATAACTCTAAATACACACCATTAATGGACGTTACCCAAAATTTTCCCCTCCCTCCACCCTTGTAGTGGTACTTTAACGGAGTGGTTGGCAGAGTGGGAAAACCTTTTACAAGATGATGACATATTATAGTCAAATGGTAGTTATGCTATTATAAAATAAAAGATAATGTATTAATAAGTTTATGATCTTGTTGTTTTTTTCTTTAAAAGAAAAAAAAGTAAAATATAATTGTAAAAAAAAAAGTGAGTGCGAGCCTTCCTTAGAAAAAAACCTAAATTTGTAATATTAAATATGTATTATAAATAAATGTTAGCAAACTTTTTGGACACTTTAATACTTGGTATAGATAGATGAAATGTAAGAGAGAGTGAACTTTTTAGAAAAAGAAATTAAGGAAAAAAAGAAGAAGAAACTTTTTAGAAAAAGCAACACATGTATATCTGGAGTTTTCACTCTCCTCCCTCACCCATTGTTATCACTTTGTAAAAGTATCTGCTTTCTAGCTAGTCCTGGCTTTCTTATTTCCATCTCTTAACTTACTGTGCAAGCAATAAGAGAACAGAACTGTGACATGTCTTTAATTACTCCATCTTGTTCAGCCAAAATGTTTATGCAAATAAAGTTGAACAGAACTGATTTGCGCATACGGTCAAGTATTAGCTCTCGAGCTTGGTTGGTTGACTGCATTGCACATTTTATCGATCAAAAAGCCAGAGAAATGTGAAGGATTTGGAGATCGGGACTCACTTAATTCAACGAGCTAGCAAGCTAGAGCATTAAAAGCCAAAAATATGTCGTCTGGTAACGCAAACGAAACCATTAGCCCCAACTCCATGCCCCTATTAATACCACCCAGGACCAATTCGCAACATGGTCGTACTATGAGGGAGCGGCTGGTGGAGTGGCGGAGCATATTATTGTTGGTGCTGTGTCTAATCGCGACGGTGACTTTCCAAGCTTCTATAAACCCTCCAGGCGGTGTGTGGCAAGACGACTCTCCCAAAAATCTCCCGGGTAGCTCTGTGCCAAATCCACACAAAGCAGGGGAATTTGTAATGTTTTATAACAATCCGGTTTCGTTTGCAAATTTCTATATTGCTAACTTAGTGGGTTTTATTGGATCTTTATTATCAATTCTTTTACTCATCGTTGCATTGGCATTGAACAACAACCTTATTCTGTGGTTTTTGATTACAACCACATGCTTGACAGTTGTGTCGGTTCTCTTGGTTGTTCTTGCTTCTTTTAGCGGAATGACTCCACATAAGAACATAAAAGAGTTCAATTCTCAAATGAGTAAAATTGCAAATGTCACTGCAATCGGTGGTCTGATAATAGTTTGTTTTCTCGTGATTTTGGTATCAATTTGTATTTTAATAGGTCGCAGAAGCAGAAGTTTAAGTTCAGCAGATGCAAACAATGCCAATAGTGGAGACCCAGAAGCTCCTCAAGATGCAGCTGCCTTAAGCAGTACTGCCAATATTGGAGGCCCAGAAGCTCCTCAAGATGCTGCTGCCGCTAACAATGCCAATATTGGAGCCCCAGAAGATCCTCAAAATGCAGCCGCTGTAAACAATGGTAATGGAGGTGAAATCGAGCTGATGTAAATCATGTCAATGGATGAGCAAAAGAAGGTCAAATTCCAGTTGATTTAAATCATGCAAATGGAGACCAAGAAGTTCCTCAAATTCAGTAAACATGAGGCTGTCAAAGTTCATTAATTATGTAGAGTGCGTAAATTTTCAGTTGTCTTTGAAACCGCATGAAATCTTTAGCACAGAATGTATTGGTTTGACTTAATTAAAATCTCAATTTTAAGTTGGGCTATTATTATTTTAAAAAATGTTAATGGATTTGAGCATAAGTTCAATTGAAGGTGTGAAAAGCAAGTAGGTATATAGTGCGTGCACTAGGCTAATCAGAGCCGTACGTGCACAAATAGGTATGGATTAGTCCGATGTACAGTACACCAAACACACTGAATAATTATTCATGAAAAGCACAGCGTGGTACAATTTAATTCGGTCCCTTTTATTGTTGCTGAGACTTTATCAATTCGTCTTTTGAACTACAAAATCGAAAGGTTTGGTGCCTATTCTTCCCTATGCTCAAAATAGGTATGACTTTACAAAAACCTTGATTTTGGATAAGATGCATATCAAAGAAGCAAAGCTTATGCATGCGGGAGTTTCTTTCATCTTGTTGGGAAAGTGTCACCGGTCGGACATTTTTATAACTATGTAAACTTCAAGAATTTGAGGTATCAAGATGGCATATCTTTTCACTCACTCACCGGAAAAAAGAAAAAATGGAAAAAGGATGGCATATCTTTGGTGAACATTGTTATGTCAAATGTCAAATTTGATGTACTCTTATATGTTTTTGATATTCAGGTATATTGGTCGTCAATCTTTTCTGTTTCAAAAAATGTGGTCAAGAGTATTGCACAGAATATGAGAGAATTTATATGGAGTTAAAGGCGCTAGTGGCTTGGAACACTATTTATTTATCGAAATCAGAAGGTGGGCTCGAAACCAAAAGCATCCATGACTAGATCAGCGTTGCACAGCAAATTTGAAACATTCTAAATCAAGCACCGACCTAGCAAACAAATTTTCAGTGGGGTCATGTATGTGAGTTAGGCGGTGCGATAGTTGTTAGTTGATTTAGTTGTAATTAAGTCCCTAAATGACCTAAATGAGATTAGTAGGTCAAGTTGTCCAATTTTCGTGATTGATTAATTTACTCAAGACTATGATCAATTAAGCATCCACAATTATAGATATAAATTGAAAAATAAAGCAAGTAAAGTAAGAGAGATGACACTAGGATTTTAGTGAGGAAACCAATTGAAAAATCTCGAAGATTTTTGCGTTGTCCCGAGCGTAAAAAGATCCATCATGTATGAAACAAAGTACACTGAACTTTAACTCAGGCTCACACCCTTTCACTCTACCAAGACCCAATCTGCTGAATGTATTTGACTTTGCGACTTTATGTCTAACAGCTCTCGACTTCAGACTTATGCCTCGAACTCTGTAGAAGGATTGCTTGTAGATCAACAATACTCCGCAAGTGCCTTGATCTTTTCAAAGTGTTATCTGGAAATTCTTCTTATTTGAATCTGAATTCGATGTACAAGAAATAGATCTGCTTTTCGGAATTTCTGAATCTTCAATTATGCTTCAATTCTGATGAAATAGATAACAACACTACTAAATCGCTATTGTATATATGTGTGTGCCCTCAAAACAGAAACAAAAAAATCAGATTTGATTTTCTGAAAAATATCTCTCAAAAAGCTCTCTCAAAATAATGAATTTTTATTCTAAAAAGCCAAACCTCAATGTTGAATAAAAGAGAGATTATATAGAAGTTTGGAAGACCTAAAAAATACTTGGAAACCAAGTCAAATTTGTGCATATGTTTTTGGAAGATACCCCCAATAGGAATCAAAACAGATCAGGAAGGTAAGTTACCAAAACTGATCTGAAGGCCTTGAACCGGTTCAGGGTGGTTTAATTGGTTCAAGTTGGCTAGTGAATTTTCGTGACAAATCAACTTTGACACTTGAACTGGTTCAGGATGGTCAGACTTGAAAAACACCAAAAACCTCAAAAGTTGAATCTGTTTCAAGATTCTTAAACCAGTTCAAGTTGGGCAGAATGTAAAATCTTCCTAAAACCTTGTGTTTTGAACTTCCCAAACTTCCTAAGTGTTCTCATACACACACATACCTTTCTAAAACATTGTTTCATCATCCCGGAGTATATTAAAGAATGAACACTTGAACTTCTTCAAATTCGCTTCCGATCTTGAATCTTGAAATTCTGAATCAAAATTTTACAACTCGATCGGACTTGTTTTGACAACGAAATTAGTCAATTACAAAATATATATTTCACAATGTAATGTAATTAAATTAAAAACATAAATAGCAAATTTGTTGTATTGTATGTCCATGTCATGTTCTTGCGGTGACCATGCTTCTTAGACGGTACTCGACCCTTTCCCTCTAATTTTGTGTTATTCGTCCACCATCCATATCCCCTCTCATTTTTGTAAATGCAATAAAGGAAAATATTATCAATTAAAATTTGGTTCTTATATTTATTATTTTTTTAAAAAAAAATTTATCTTCAATTATGTTTTCTCCAATGGCGCCCAGTGAACAAATTCTTGAGTCTGACACTTCAAATCCATTTTCTTTCCATAATCTTCAAGAAAAAAAAAGGGCTCGCTCCCATCTTTGAAGGAAGAGAATATTTTGATATTCCTAGGTGTCAGCTGGAGTTTCAAACTTTTAACCAACTATCAAGTTTTTGTGTAGAGAGATGAAGAAGATGAAAAATGGAGCAGAATAATCTTATTGATCCTCTGAATAATCTCTTTTACAATACCATTTGACATATTTATTTTATTCTCCTAAAAACCCATTGGACTTTTCAAAATATAAAAGGTACATTCCACCTACACACCCCCTGAGATTTGATAATATTCCACTTACACCCCTCTATGTTTCAATGTAAGCACATGGAAGAATAATTTCATTTGTCCTTTGTTTCCAAGATAGCATCATCATTCTAGATCACTGATCTTGATAATTCTCATCCGATGAGATTCATTTCCAAGGATGAAAAAATCCATTCGTACCTTTGTATAGAACAAGTTAGTCATGAGTAAATATAGTTACAGAGAGCCTTTTACTGACCTTACATGAGAGAAGTTATCGTTTCCTTGTTCAATTCCCACTAATTTTAGCATTTTTTTAACAAAATCAACATTTGCAACCATATATATAGAAATAGTATATGGTACATATGCTAAACGAGGATGGGGATGGGATGAAATATCCCGCCACAAACTGCCCTGTTGCCGTCACTAATCAGACTGCCGTGAGAGGGCGGAAAAAAAGTAGCATAAATGGTTGGAGCAGAATTGTTTGACCCGTATGAATCCAAAACACAAAGAGTATCATGAATTTTCGGCAATTTTGGACCCGGACCTTCAATAAGTAACATGTATCCTGTACTATTCACCCTATTAGGAACTACCAAAATATCATAGGTATCATCTTCACGTACTAGATAATCTTTGCTAAAGATTGACACCTCAAAGTATCCGGCATAAACTTTGCAGATATTGGAATAAAAGTAATGAACCATATCCGGTGAGAAACCACCTTCCATTCGTGTAAAAAAGAGCCCATTGTTCTTCTCAATGTACTCCACAAGTTTCTTCCCTGCATTGTCTCTTAGCTTGTTCAAACTTACATTCCTCTCTATCTTGATCGGTTTGTCCTTGTAGACATTATTGTAAGCTTTCCAAGCGTGTTCATCGTAGAAGTGTTCTACAGTGAACTCAATCTTCCTAGTGGCTGAAACAGAGGGATACCCAGATGGTATCTCATATGGAGGAGACGTCATGGGAGATGATGTCGTATCCAAAGGAGTGTGTAACTCATCGTGAGGCTCGCGAATGACAATGCCGGTTCTAGCACTGTTCGGTGGTTTAGGAGCTGCAATTACATTGCCTTTAGCTTCTTTAGACAGCCTTGAAGCCATTTGATCTTCAGAAAATTCACTTTGAAGCTTCAATACTCTTTCAGGAATTTCGTCGAACACTTGGTGTGCAAAAGTGTTCTACAAAAAGCCTGAATTTACTGCTTCCAAGCCCTAAAACTCAACAACAATGCAATAGCAAAGACAAAACCGCAACAAATTCAACCCCAAATCCTCAAGTTTCTTCACCACAATGAGCTTTGCAATACAAACCCAACAAGTGCCTCAAAGTTTCAATTCCAAACTGCAATTTCAAACACAACACAAATATTCTTTACCAACTTTTCAATGATGTCATGGATCACAATATTGCAATAAGGAAAGAAGATTATGATGCAAGTTATTGAGATATAGGATAATATGTATATATGTATGCAAGAGAGGAAATGGAAAGAGGTAAAAGTGCAGCCAAGGAGGGGTACAATGTGACCCAACAACGCACTTAACTGAAGTACTTAAGTGCCTAGATTCGGCATCTTGAAACGGTTCAAGGGGTGGAATCGGTTCAAGATAGGCAGTTTCCAATTCAAAGCTGCCTTGCATTCTTGAACCGGTTCAAGGTCATGGAACCCGTTCAAGTCTTCCAGAATTGAATCCATAGACTAAATTTTTTCAGAACCTCTCAAAAATTATCTTAAACACCCAATGATCAAAATAAAGAAACACAAAAATCCTTTTGTTGTTTATGTGTATGTGTTTTTATTTTTATTTTTTATTTTTATTTTTAAATCAAAACATTAAGTAATTCAATCTCATAATTTTCAAGTCAACACACGATCCAAAATTTTAGAGAATTTTATGAATGCCTATGAACACAAATTTTTGACTCCACACATGTTTAAATATTTTTCAAATCTCATAATGCAATCACAACATAAAATTCAACTTGTGTTTTTAAAAAAAATTAGAGATTTATCTAGCAAGTTCATGTGTGTGTGAAATCAAATTTCAATCAAATTTCAATCAAATTTCATCAACTCATTGTCTAAGTCATGAATCGAAAAATATCAAGATAAGATTATTTTTGAGTAAATTTTCTAAACAAGGCGACTTTCATTTTAAGGAGCAGATAACAATTCTCTATTTCAACTTGTCTCCACCTTTCTTTTTATTTAAATAATTAACTCAATTTCAAAGTCTAATAGTAGCTTTCGACCCAAACTTAATAGGTAGTCTTTTCCTCAATAAAGATTTTAGCATTTTCAATTTGTTCTTTTCTTTTTATGTTGAAAAAAAAAAATTTACTTTTATTTTTTATTTTCATGCTCTAGATATATATATATATTTTAAGAATAACCTTTATACCTTTTATGAGCAATACAACCTAGTCAACAATCCAATGCTTTTTAATTAATTTTCTCAGAGATGGCTAGTGCACAAAAAGATATGAACACAAGAGATTTAAATATAAAAATCACATAAACAAAGCAAATTATTTTTCATTGAATAGATTACAAACCATATTTTTATTAAATCATCATGTGTCCCAATTTGCATTCATAGATATATCATAAATTCAACTGAAAGAATTTTTCACATATGCTAAAAAAAAAAATGATTAATGTTTCCTTAAATCCATAACCAAACCCTAGACTCTCAAAAAGTGATCCAATTGCAACAAATTTTTCAATAAACACATTCCATGATCACTTAACCATCCTAGGACTTAGTTTGTATGTTTTGCACCTAATGACCTTTTGGAAACTAGTTCCATAAAGTCAATTGGTACATAATTGACTAAGTCTTCTTTCTTGATCTACATAGTCTTCACTCTCAAATTTTGAAAAGATTTTTCCAATTTGACTATCTTCTTAAGCAAATTTTTAACCTTAGAATTTTTTGGTGAAACAAAATTATGTTTTTTTCTTAGTATGCACCCGATTCATAGCATGAAACCTATGAGAATGAATATCAGAAAACCTTTTTTTTTTTTTTTTTTTTTTTTTTTTTCTTATGAAAACAATAATGTTAGTTATGTCCAATTTTACCACAGAAAGTGCAATGCAACACATTAGGCACACATGATACATTAAAATGTAATGAATCAACTAAAATAGGATCAGGCACATTTTGATTAACAGGTTTCACAAAAATTGCTTTACCCTAATTACTCGATGAGCCCTTAACAAATCTTAAGCCTGTTTTATAATTCACACTCTTACCAATATTTATCATCTTATTCAGTTTGATTTGTCCACAAGTAAAAATAATCAATTTTTCTTGAGACTTAGTCAATTTAACATCAAGAAAATTAACTCTAGATTCCAAATCCTTTTTCAAGGATTTAGTTATACTTACCTCCTCTTGAAAAAAACTTATTCCTTCATTGAGATCAGTGATGAGTGAATTGCTTTCCAAAGTATTCTTTTTCTTGTCATCAATCTGTTCTCTCAATTCATCATTCTCTTCTTTGGCTCGAATAAGTTCATTTGCTAACTTTTTAATTGCCAATTTAATTAACTTCAATAGTTTCTGTAAACATCTTCTTTAATTTTTCTTCATCCATCTCATCCTCTTGAACCTGCTCATCATGAACTTCATTGTTTTCATCATCTGAAATATCAGAATCAGTCAAGGTAATAATATGAGGACCTTTATCAAGAAAAGCAACAAAAGAAAAATCATTGCAATCATCATGAGAAGATTCATTATCCCTAGAAATAGAATTCTCAAAAACTGAAACTTTCATTGCTTTTCTTTTATTCCTATCCCTTTGATCTTTCTTAGGACTAGAACAAACATTAGAAGTGTGACATTTGCTACCACAATTTCAGCAAGTAAGTTCACTTTCTTTAGACTCTTCCCCTTTCTTTTCATTTATCTTAAAATTTGACCCTTTATCAAAATTTTGAAGATAGGCCCCATTGCCATTCCTTCTTCTTTGTTGTCTTTTTAACTGATTAAATTGTTTAGATATGAGAGCCACATCTTCATCAGAATTATTATCAATGTTTTCAACTTGAGTTGACTTAATTTAAAGCAATATTTTTTTCTTTTTGAGTTTGACCAAAATTCTGTATCTCAAATTTTTTTGAAGAACCCACAACCTCATTTACTTAAGCACTAGACAAATCACAATGTTAAGTGATAGTTTCTACCCTTATTTGAAATATTTTAGGTAAAGATCTCAAGATTTTCTCACAGATTTTCTTATCACTAATTCTTTTGCCTAAGGGACGGTGTTCAGAAATAATTTCAAGAAGATTAGAATAAAAATCAGAAAAAGTTTCATCTTCTTTCATCATAATGTTCCCAAACTTATGAGAAAGAAATTGAATTTTGGATACATTAACTTTCGAAGTCCCTTCATGAGTAACCTGCAAAATATCCCAAACAGCTTTAACAGTTTTATAATCAGAAATTCTAGTATATTAAGATGGAACAATAAAATTAATAATTGCATACAAAGCTTTTTCATTAGCATCATTGCGCTCAATTTCAAGTGTAGTGAAGGTGAAAGTATCTTTTAAAGCTTGAACAACCTTACCATCCGCAGTTTTTTCCTCAGTTACAGGTGTAAAACATGTCTCAACAATAGCCCAGACTTTACCTCCTGAATTTTGTAAATAAGCTCTTATCTTTGATTTTCAAAAATTATAATTGTCACCTTCAAATAAGGGACCACGTTGATTAGATCCACCCTTTTTCAAAACATAAGACATGATGAAAGAATTTTTGAAAATAAGCAAAAACTTCCCACTATGATCAACTGAAAGTGTAGAGATTGGCTCTGATACCAAATGTGAGTTTTGCAGCGGAATAAATTGTGGAAAGTTTAAGTTTTTATCTTTCGTGCTTCACTATTCCATTAATTCTATTAAAATTACTTGAATAATTAAACAATCACACGCAAAATAAATGCAAGTAAAGTTTAGAAATGATACTAGGATTTTTAACTAGGAAACCCCGATTGGTCGAAGAGACCAATCGTTATGGGAAAAACCTTGTGGATTGTGCACTTTAGAGAAAAATGATCAACTATGTTTGAAACAAAGTACAATGAACTTTGACTCAGGCTCACACCCTATCGTTCTACCAAAAACCAATTGCTGACAATCCCTGGCTTTGCAACTTCCCGTTCAACAGGTCTCGACCCTAGGCTTACTCTTGATCTCTGTAAAAAGATTGCTGATAGATCAAACAACACTCCATGAATGCTTTGACCCCTTTAAAGTGTGATCGCTTCACCCATTTTCTTCAAGATTTGAATTTGATGTAGAAAAAATAGACATGTTTTCTCTAATCGTTGTAGATGCAATATTCAATAGACTTGAACACGATCAGGATTTGAATAACACCCTAAAATCACTCTTATGTTTATGTGTGTGTTCTCAAAAAAAATATCAAATTGATTTTCTGAATAAAAATCTCTCAAAAAACCTTTTTAAAAAAATGAGAAGTTTAATGCTGTTAAATATAAAAGAAAGAAACTGTATATTGTATTGATGTGTATGTGATCTATAATACAAGAGTATATGGGGGTTTATATAGGAGAGGCCATGTGTGGACAACAAGTCATTACCATATAAGGTAATATTATATATGGTAATGAGGATATATTAAGACAGCTACCATATAAGGTAATGTTATATATGGTAATGATATATTATAGAATATATTCTAACAATACATATGGTAATAATATATTATAGAATATATTCTAACAGCCCCCCTCAAAGTCAAAGTGGGTTATATGAAACCATTTTGAGTTTGAAGATTATCCTTTCACCCTGATGTAGCTGACATGGCACCGATGCTAACATGGTTGATGACATGGTAACTGAAGTGGCATGTGACTTGGCACTACTGTTGCCACCTCTACTGCGTGGCAACTAACGTGGTAGGTGATATGGCACAACTACTGGCACCGTACGTTGGACCAATGCTGACATGATGTCAGGTAATGTGGGGTGGATCTGTGAAGATCTTGAAGGTAGGTGCGGAGCGTGAGTTTAAAGGTTGCTATCCCCGGTGGTAACTATTATAAATTGATGGGTGATGAATTTGTGGAGATTCACCACGTTGAAGGCGCGTGTGAGTGCATGATGACCACTGATGGCGCGTGGTGGCGTGATAACGGAGTTGATCCGACACGTTGAGGTGTTGAATTACCGCTGGTGCTCGTGAAGGCACATGGAAGAGTGGGATTACCACTTGAGGCGCACGATCGCGCGGTGACGGAGCTGATCCGACACACTGAGCATCTCTGAATGAGGCATCTCGTTAAACAATGAGGCTCCCTATACGGGGCATCCCTAGGTGAGGCTTCTCTAAACGAGGCATCTCGTTGGGTTTCCCGAAGGAAGAGTTAGACAACGAGGCTTCTCTGAACTGGGCAAATGAAGATCTTTATGAAGATCTTAGGAGTGCGGAAGCGTGAATTTACTAGTTGACTGCCGGCGCCGAGAATGGGGCTAATGGTGCCATCCCCGGTAGTGACTACGATAAATTGTTTACCAGAGATTGAAAGACTTTGATACCATGTTAAATATAAAAGAGAGAAACTGTATATTGTATTGATGTGTATGAGATCTATAATACAAAAGTACATAGGGTTTATATAGGAGAGGTCATGTGTGGAGAGCAAATCATTATCATTTAAGGTAATGCTATATATGGTAATGAGGGTAGGTTAAGATACCTACCATATAAGGTAATGTTATATATGGTAATAATATATCATAGAATATATTCTAACAATCTATGGTAATAATATATTATAGAATATATTCTAACAAATGCAAAAAGTCACACAAACCTAGATGTGAAAACATGTTTATATAGACTTTCAAAAACCTAGATATGCTTAGAAAATAACTTAAATTCATGTATATCAAATAGGAAGTTTAAACAAATTAGGAAACAA